AGATGTAGTGACCTTCTTTGTCTCACTTAATTAGTTTTGCTTTGAAATTTACTTTGTCCTCAAATAAGATAGCTATCCCTGCTTTTTTCCGAGTTCCTATTACATGGAGAACTGTTTTCCATCCTTTTACTTTCAGTCTATGAGTTTCTTTTTGAACTAGGTGTGTTTCTTGTACACACCATATTGTTAGATTTTGCTTCTTAATCCATCTTGCCAGTCTACATCTTTTGATTGGTGAATTGAGGCCATAAACACTGATGGTTATAACTGATGTATCAACTTATCATCATCAGGTTACTTGACTGCTGTTGGCGCTTTTTAATTTTCTCCCCCGTATTTAATTTCTTGCCTTGCCTGCTGGATTTGCTCTGTTGGGCCTTATGGAATTGTGATCTTCATAGTCTTTTTCTAGGATACTATTTAGAATTTTTTGGAGTGCTGGTTTGGTATTCATGAAGTTTTCCAAGTCATTGGAAGTGTCTTATTTCCCCAGCAATTTTGAAAGAGAGTTTTGCAGGATACATCAGTCTAGGTTGGAAATTGTTTTCTTTTAGGGCTTGAAATACTTCACGCCAGGCTCTCCTTGACTTGAGAGTTTGGGTTGAAAAGTATGCGGTGATTCTGATGAGCTTTCCTTTGCATGTGATTTGTTTCTTTTCTCCAATCATTTATAGAATTTCATAAGCATAAGTTCTATAGGCCTCACTTATATGTATGTCAAATTTTTTTGCTCAGTTTGGGAAGTTTTCTGCCATTAATTCTGTGAACAGCTTGTTTTTTTATTTCACTTGTATTTTCTCCTGCTTTTTCATGCCTCCTATCAGTCTTATATTATTCTTCTTTGTATCATCTAGGACCTGCTGGTTTGATTTCACACGTTCCCTTACTTTTTTAAAGAGATCCCTCTTTTCACGGTCTCTGACCATTCTGTCTTCTATGTATGATATTCTGTCTTCAGATTGGCTCAGTCTGTTATGTATACTTTCAATAGAGTTTTTAACCTCCTGGATACCTGTCTGAATCTGTTCCATGGATTCCATTTCTTTCCTGTGTTGGGCATTCATGGTTCCATTTCTTTCCTATTTGGGACATTCATGGCTTCTGTCATGGTCCTGAGCTCATGTGTTTTTTTTTTTTTTATCTGTTTCTCTTCTAGAGCCTCTAATCATGTCTTTATTCTGCTCACCATCTCTATAGTTACCTTGGAAATTATTTGTTTTACCTTTTTCTACAGCCTTATTCATCTGTTTCATTACTTCCTGTGCTATCAGTTCAGGATGTCCAGGTGGTTGATTATCAGACTTTTCCACCTCATTTCCTTCAGAATTTGCCTTTGATGAACAGGCTGCCTTAGTTTGTGCTGAGCCTTGCTTGAATATCGTCTCATATTTGTTTTTGTTGTTGGTACTGTCCTTGGTTTTATTCCTGTGTTAATACTTCAATCTTCCAGGTATAGCTGGTCTTTAGGTTTTGAGTCTCTAATGACTCTGAGGCTATCTCATTTTCATTATACTAGGAAGGACAACTGATTAAATCAATCACAACACCTTAGCCCAAGTCATGCAATCAACAACACAATAGCATCAAGCACAACTTAGAAAAATGACAATTGGTGGTAGTTATTAATCTATCACCTGTAACTGTGTGAATTAAATCAAAATCAAGGTTAGGACTTAGAACAATGGCCTTTTTGACCCCCTGTGCCTCCACAGTGTGAATCCAGGTACCAGCCCAGACAGGAGGCCAGAGGCACTGGGGGGGTGGTCTGCAGGCACCTGCATGGCTGTGCCTCGCACCATTCCCCTCTCTGGTCCTCTTTTCTTTTCAAAAATGGGAGATAGGACATTCCAGTCTATGCTATGATTTTCATTTAAAAATCAAGTGGAGATGGAAATATAAATGCTAAATGTTTTTAATAAGGAACTTTGTTATTGCTATTATAATCACAACATTATAATTATATTGTCACTGTTACAATTAGCAAGCTTTCATTCCTTAAATAAAAATAATGCTGGAGATTCTGTGCATTTATGAACACCAGAGATGAAAATGTTGCTTGTCCATCCCTAAAGGGATAAAGAAATTGCAGCTCTGCTACCAGTCGACCATGGTCTGAACTCAGACTTCAGTGCCCTGAAAGTCAGTTCACTGCACTTGAGCTTCACTGCCTGACATGAAATCTGCACTTTCATTAAGACAAGAACCCGCAGCACAGAGAGTGCCTCTTGCACCACCAACTCTGCCTGCATCTCCACCCCTGCAGCAGGTGACACCTCCGTGCACAGAAAGGTTGATCTTCCCTCAAGATGAGCAATGATCCGTTTTTCTTTCCCAAAGGCTGATGGCCCTTTTTATTTTTGTCCACAACACTTCCTTTTTGTCCCTCTCCCTCCAGCGAGGAAGTCCAGCCCTGACATGAACACAATATACCTCTTCATGAGGAAGGCAAATGAGTACGCTCCAGATGGGCCTGGGCATTACAACATGTTTCCTGCTCCATGGTGACCCAATGAAGCTGGTATGAGAACTCATCTTATTCAAGACGGCCACTTCCCTGGCCGAAGTATGAGTCACAGTTCCTGGGTAGAAAGCTCACTTACCAGCAACACTTGGAGAACTGGGGGGTGTCCTTGGATGGATACAGTAAAGGTCATTCAGACCAGCCGCACTGCCAGGACCCCTGGGCAGGCCCCAGATCTAGCGGACTGCTGGGAATTCCTGATCTCTCAACAAAAGAAACACAGTCACCTCTCCCTTCCCTTCAGGGTGAAGAAGGACATGAAAACACAGAGATGAATTGCTAATATGGATTTAAACACTTCTATCATAAAACCAGCCAACTGGGGGGAGAAAGAGGAGATAGATGTGAAGCAAAGTTTATTCATTGAACATCGAGCATCTACTTTGTCTCCATGTGTTGATTATTCTTGGAATGTACGGAGAAAAAATGTAAAACACAAATGTATATCCTCAGATAGCTTAAAATCAGAGACAGAGGGAATGATGAGCTAAACCGTAGAAGGGGGAAGAGAAGGACGAAGGGAAGGAGGGAGGGGAGGAGAGGACAGGAAGGGAAGAACAGGGGTTGGGGAAGAAAAAGAGAAGGAAGGAGAAAAAGGAGAGGAGAAGAGAGACGGAGTCAGGAAATACTTGGTTAGAAGAACACTAGAGCAAAGTACAGGGATAGAGTGACTGACGTGACTATTTTAGTTAAAAACAGCCATGAAATGCCTCTGTGAGCAGACAAACTTCAAACATCAAACTGAATCAAATCAAATAAGAACAAATGATAATGAGGGCTTATACTCAAAATATATAAAAATCAGTATATCAAGTCACTCACCAATCAAATGCAACACCTAGCCTAGCAAGACAGATGATGATATTCTAGGGCACCCCAGCAGGGTACCAATGTACCCCTACTGAGCATCAGCCCTGGTTACAATGCATACTTTGCTCTATGAAGTCTCAAAGGCCCTCAAGTTTAGACATTATCTGCTTTCAGCTTTGAGCTGCACTCTGTCCCAGTTATACCCCTTTGTCACAGTTATTTCTGGTTTCTGATACAATACTTTAAGTGACAGAAAACTGAAATGCACCCTGCAAAAGTTATCAGGATGGTAGGAGGGCTCGAATCCATGCTATGTGAAGAATATATTGGAGAAACTGGGGTCACAGATGTATAATCACTGATGTAACAGCTCTAAAATCCTCTCACACGGAACAGAAATTAATGATATTCAAAGTATGGGCCATTGTATTCAGGGAAATTACACATGGGATCTTTTTAAAATGAGGATCCCTGTGTCTCTTGTACTAAAATTAAAGGAGCTTTGCATGAGGTGTTTTCTATTTCAATCATGCAGTTGAACCAAAGAAATTCATGGAAATGAAAAAGAGACACTCTTCAGTTTTATATACTAAAATCTGTCTAAAAAGTTGATCCATTCAAACATACAACAGCCTGAAAATAGAGGATCACTGATTAAAGGTCCTAGAGCAGCAACTGTGGAAAGAAGTGAAAGACCTCAGTAGTGGGCTTTCACCTCCGATTTCTTGTGATCTGGGTTCAGAGTGGCTGAGTTTGGTTGTTCAAAGAGAGGAAGGGGTGGAAGACAAGGAGAGAGGAAGGAAGGAAGGAGAACAGAAATGACAGGAAAGGAAGGGAAGGGAAGAGAAGAGAAAAAGAGGAGAGAAGATGAGACCAGGAGCTGGGGAGGAAAGTGGGCTTTCACCTTTGATTACATACCATCTCAGTACATAAGGGCTGAGTTTGGGTATCCAAACTCAAGAAAGGTCTTATTCAGTTCTTCTTTTGAAATGACATCCAAAGAAAAAAATGAAACTGAACCTACAGGCAAGCCCTTCTTGTCTACACTGAGGCAGTTTAATAAAAACTACTTCCCGCCGGGTGTGGTGGTGCATGCCTATAATCCCAGCACTTGGGAGGCTGAGGCAGGAGAATCACTGTGAGTTCAAGACCAACCTGGGCTACATAGTGAGTTCCAGGTCAGTCTCAACTACATAATGAGACCCTGTCTCAAAAAATAAAACCAAACCAACCAACCAAACAAACAAAATTACTTCCCTTCACACTCTGCTCCCTCCCTCCTTGCCCTCTCTTGCTTGTTAGTTGTTTTAAGGCCTCATGGTACTGTTAGCCACTGTGGCCTTCACTGCTGGTTCCTGCTTGGAAAACTGATTGCGCTACTCTTGTTACCATTTCCTTCTTCACCAAACCTAGGGTAAAGAAAGCAGTGCTCTGATTAACTTGGTTGTTAAGGTGAGGAAACCTTCCTGTAGAGACATACAACAAACCAAGAACACTGTGTCCTACGATGAAAAACAGCAGTGGTTCCTCCACTATTCTGAGATTCTGTGCTACCACAAAACGCCATGGAAATAAACAGCATAATGCTTTTTTAAATTCATTCTCACAAAGAGCTCATACCCTATATAAGACTTAAATTGTAATTGATTATTAAAAACTATTCACTTACCAGAGGCATCATTTGGCAGGATCCCAAAGAAGTAGATGGTCAGGACACACCATAGAATTCCCATCCTGTCAACATAAATCAGAAGGTAAGAGAGAGTACTGGCTACCTTCAAGCACTTAGATAATACGATGGCATTTGCATGTTGACTATAACTAAGAACTGTTCCAATATTTTTACAATATTAACAAGGTTAGCTGTCAAAACCAAACAATAAGACAGGGTGTGTTTTGCTTTGCCATTTAGTCTGCAATCTTCAAACTACAAACAATGAAAGAAACTCAGACAAGTTGAAATAATATAACCAAGTAGTAGAGCCATGATGAAACATGAGCTACCTGGTTCCAAAACTCTTTCTGAACTACTGAACAATAACTTCGGATGGAAAAACAAATACTATCATCTGGGTTTTCTGATGAAAAGTCACATTTTTGGCTGTTAAATATGACCCACTTCCCCTGTCTCAAATTCCTTTGACCTCAGTGGAAACTGCATGTCCCAGGTACCTTTCCTTGTTAGTGATGAATGAGAAAGCCCAGAAATCCTGGAGTTGGACTAAGTCTGCAGTCCCCAGAGCTTTGAATTTACATAAAGGGAGAATATAAGAGCTCCTGCTCTTCTCTCTGGGAGAGACAAATGAGGAGGCAGGAGTCCAATTTCTGTGCTCTTTAGCCTTCCTACTGAGAACCAGAAGAAACTTGCCAACCAGCACATCGCGTGACTTTACATTTGGTTGTGTGCTCTTGTGTGGAGAAGACCTAGAGATTTAACAACTTGGCAAAGTATTTCTTTTCCTACTACCTTAGACATGCTGGCCACCAAGTACAAATCTCTGTAGGGCTATAGATACTGGGAGAATGAAAAATTCCGTATGCCCAAGACCTCTTCCTGTTCTGGGGAAGACCCTGTTCATATGACAGTGCTTGCGATGGTCTTGATAACTTCTCCAGACCTTATCTCTAGAAATGGAGATCTATACCTACATGGGGATGGCAACAGTCAACGGTCTCAAATAGCTGACGTCACAAATTTTACCACCACGGTGACGGGCCAGCCTAACATGCAAAGAAGTATTTCATGAGTGCCCATAAGACATCCGGTAAAGTGGGCCACTTGGAAGAACGCGACATGGAAAGAGAAGTATCAACCGGTGCAGCCAGGCAATCCAGGCTGCGTGGTTAAATGAGAGGACAAGGGGAGTCTCCACCCCGTCACCTGTTTTCTCACATACTCCACCGGAAATTTCTGATTCGCATCAGGCCTCCTTCTTTACCTTAGCTGTTCACAGACTGGAGGTGAGTTTACTGTCTCATAAGCAACCACAGTATCTGAGAGACTATGTGTCTCTTTTTTCCCCCCACAACTCCTCCTTTCTGATCTTTATACCATTACCTCCTGGGAAGTGGCTTTCCATCATTCCTGCATTTATTCTATCAAATATGTACTGAGCCTTGGGAGGGGGCATAGCTCAGCGGTAGCATATTTTCCTACCACAACCAAAGCCTTGGGCTTGATCCCCAGGCTCCACAAAACCAAAAACAAAATAATGTACTGAGCATTTTCTGTTTACAAGTTCCTATAAAATAAGTGGAAGGGCAGGAAAGACGTAGGACCTTTTCTAGAGGCAGTACTGCAGTTGATAACCCCACACAACTTAATATCACCAATTATGTGTAAAATACACGCATGAGACACTCTCAGGGAATACAAAGATTTATCAGATAGGCCTCACAACACTAGGGAGAGTCTAGCAAGGACTCAAAATGTATATAAAAAATAAAGGGCTGGGGATGTAGCTCAGGAGCAGCTGCTTGCCTTGCAAGCGCAAGTTCCCGAGTTCGATCCCTGGTACAAGAAAAAAAAAAGTAACTTCAACACAAAGTAAGAAGCAATACAAATCGAGAGGAATGGAAAAGTGTTATCGACAATTAGCAAAAGAAATCTATTACTCAGCCAAGGAAGTCAAAGAAGAGAAAACATAAGAGGTGCTTTCTAACTGTGTGAGTAGTGGCTCAATCACTCAGAAGGGAGGCAGAGAAAAGCACATACAAGAAAAAGAAACTTATGGTGGAGAATACTGTTCACACCTCATGAAAACATGGAACATAAATAGGAAAACGTCTATAAATAACTCAGTTTGGCTCATTTACAGTGTATTAGGAAAAGAACTACAAATGATGTTTTTTTTTTTTTTTTTTGGAAAGCAGAGAGCATTAGGATCAGAATATGCCAAGGACCTGAAGAGGAGGCTAAAGATGGGGTTGAACTTAAATAGTAAATAAGGAATCACTGAAATTTTCTGCTTATAGGAATGATATAATCACCACATTCGGCTTTCTGGAGGTCAGTCTGCCAGGCACGTGGTGGATAGACTGCCACTGAATCCTGTTTTGGAATCATCTTGGATCCTGAGACTGTCACTGCAATAATTGCTATCCCCCTAGCACTGTCATCTATAAACTTGATCAGCATGCTACCTATGTCATCATCAAAGTCATTAATAAAAGTAATTAATAATTCTGCATGAATCCTTGTCAGCAAGACCAACTAAATATTTCACGGCAGATTCAGGGCATGGTGATTTCAGCCCCCCGACTCAGCTATCCCAGAGCATTCAGGCCTTCCAAATTGCTGGAAGCTATTGAAAAAAAAAAAAAAAAAAAAAAAACAGGTTGCAAAATGTGTTATAAACCCAGTCATATAAAAACTAGTTTCACAAATTAGGAACAGAGCTAGCAAAAGGTACAGCAAATTGATGGTAGCTACCTGAGTAATACAATTCCTAAAGCAACACTCAGAAGACATTCTAATTAGTGTGACGGAGGACCTCAATTGATATTCCCCAAAGTAACTGAATCATGCCAGACAAAGCAGCAGCAGCATCAGGTCACTGAGGTAAAAGCTAAGCTAAAGATAACCTTGGAGCAAACACAAGTGCAGGGTTAGTTCTTCCCTGTGATGAATTCAAATAACACACAAAAGAAATGCCTTTGCTGGTTTTGAGAGAACACCAAGGTTAGCGGGAGGCAGCTGGCTGGACTGAATCCTCTGGGAGGATGCTGGTTCTTTTAACACTGTCTTGCACTCAACCTTAGAACTGTAATACTACAAGCATTAATATGATTTTGGCTCCCTTTTTAAGGGAGAGGGTGATAGATCAAAGATGGAGAAATTGTCAAAGGAAAATCTCTAATAATGCATGAGTCCAGCGTCTGAACTACCACTCAGTTTAGATTATTGTGGTGGTCAACTCTTGCCCTTGCTTCAGGTGACTGGAACTTAACATACAATAAATTCCAAAAGTCAACCTGCATCATCCATTTTATGTACAATATGATTATTTTCATTCCCCCTTAGGTACTGATATTTCTTCATGTTTAACACCAGTGTTTCCCAATGTGTCCATTTGGATTCATACATTATCAAGCTAGAAGTTTCAATATGCACTCATTTTATGAAATCAAAGAAAATATTAATGAGGCTTGTTCACATGTGCGTTGACATCTATCCCTGTATATGGCACTTCCTGTTGTCTGCATTCTCTGCACTGGATAAACTTAAGGCTGTCCTTACCTCTGAGTTACCCTGACCACTGGATTCTCTCATCCAGCCAGCAAGTGACCGGGTGACACCAGTTTGCTGCAATAAGCTGGTATTTGCTCTGGATCACCATCTGCTCAACCTTTCTTATGCACAGAGCCATGTCACCTAACCATGGACTGGACTTCTGATTCCCTGATCCGCTACATAGCTCCATAGTCATATAATAAGTACTTCTTTAACTTCACCAGGTTGATGGCGCTGGGACCTTCAGCCTGATGCCTGTCAGTGCCAGGAACCTCCTTTTCCCCACTGTAATTCTCCTGTAATCATGAAGCAGCTATCGCTTGCTCCAGTTTTCCATGGTTGACAAATGCCCTTTGCTAGAATCTGCCCACTGAAAAGGGCCATTAACAGTAGGAGCAAACTTTACATGACCCTCCTCATACGGGGAAATCCTTACCTTGCTATCAAACCATGCCCTTAAGTTGTCTATCCTGATCTCATCCATATTTTTCCATTTCGCTTCTCTAAGTCACTAAAACTTTTAGTAGGTTTCACATCGGTGTCTACTTAAAATATAACAAATGTTTGCAGGACACAGGCCAATCTAACAATTACCTATTTTACAGAAAAGAATATGCTAGTATTATCTTTATAGAGTTCTCAAAAATTAGGTAGCCCTAAGGAAGAAATTAGGAGGATATTCACCATCAATTTTCATCTAGTTTACAGTTTTTGAACCATAAAAGGATCTTTATGCAGCCTTTGTCAGAACCCAGCACTTATCAGTAAACAAGAGTTCTGACAGAGTGACATGGGAGGTTCTAATTCTGGAAACTATGAAAGAAGCATAATCCACCCTATCTTTCTTAGATGTGAACACATCTATAAAACATGAGCATAATGTAGGGAACAACTTTTTTTGATAACAGCATATTCTTTTTAAGTGTGGAGAAAACATCCACTAAGACAGGTCATATCATGTACCACAAATCAAACCATAACAAATTTAAAGCCAGGCATGGTGGTGCACTCCTGTAATCCCAGCACTTGGGAGGCTGAGGCAGGAGGATCTCTGTGAGTTCAAGACCAGCCTGGGCTACATAGTGAGTTCCAGGTCAGTCTCAACTACATAGTGACACCCTGTCTCAAAAAAAAAAAAAAAGAAAAAAAAAAAACCTGAAAAAATAAAACAAAAGCAAACCAAAGCAGATTTAAAGTACTCCAGAGTATGTTAGTTATCTAATCACAGAGTTGAAGTGAACTTCAAAATTAAAACTAAATAACCCAAGAATCCAAAATAAAGCTTCAAGGAAAGTTGCAAAAAAAAAAAAATTTTTTTTTGAATGGGCTGAAAATGAACATATAACACAACAAATGTGTTCTGAGAGGCTACTTCATTGCATTAAAGGCTCATATTAGAAAAGAGCAATGATCTCAAATCAATAATCTAAATTTCCACCTTAAGAAGATAGAAAAAGAAAATATGTGGACCACAAAATGAAAGGGGAATTATGCATTCGTA